GGGAGTGAGAGGCCAGAGCACCATGGGGGAGAGGGCTACACAGAGGGAGCTCAGGAGTCTTCATGGGTCCCTCGCTCGCTGGCTGAGTGCTGGGCATACAGTGCTGAGCGAGTCTCCAGGAGGCAGGGAAAGAACTACAGGCAAGGCTGGTAAACACCCACGTCCCAACGAGTGAGGAAGAAGGGAGCTCCCCAAACACTCAGAAGGGCTGCACCTCAGGCACCAGGTTAAACCAGACCCTGGCAAAGGCTTCTCTGGACAGGGGGCTGTCAGATTTTTTCTGTAAAGGGCCAGAGGATAAATACGTTAGGCTTTGGGGCCATACATCTCCATCTCAACTACTCAACTTTGCCACAGTAGCAGGAAGGCAACACAGAAAATACACAAACGATGTGGCTGACATGGTTCCAAGTATGTTCACAAAAAGAAACAGTGGCCAGATCTGGCCTGTCACCCTCGTGTGCCAGCCTCTGACCTGGGCCTGCTTTAACAATTGGAAAATAAGCCTTCAAAGAATGAAGCTAACAGGCTGGTAAGTTAACTTCCTGCCCGGACAAAACCCAGCTCAGCACTGTCTAACTGACGACAATAACCAATGTAACACTCGCTGTGCCCAGCATCCCATCCAAATTCCTGGGTGTGAGTGAAAGCAGGAAAGCATGGTCCGTGGGCAGAAGAAAACCAGGCAACAGAAAAAGACCCAGAAATGACTGCGGCGATGGAAACAGCGGACAAGGGCTTTAAAATGGCATTACAAATCTGTTAAAGGATTTAAGGGAAAGCATGAACAAAAGAGAGAAATATAGACTATAAAAAGACATTTCTAGAGAATAAAAATATAAGGTCTGAGATGAAAAATACATTGGATGGGCCCAACAACAGTAAACATTGCAGAAGAACAGATGAGAGAACATGAAGACGTTGCCACAGGACCGACGGAGACAAACTGAAACAGGAACAAGGCAGGAGGGGCGGAGCCTCGGTGGGACAATGTCAAGCATCTAGAAGAAATGTAGCTGGAATTCTGCAAGACTGAAGGGGACCGGGGGTGGAGGCGCCAAAACTATGGCAACACATTTTCCAAACTGTTGGTGAAAACTAATCCTACAGACGCAAGAATTTTAACAGACGGCGCCAAAGACTCAGGGAGCCAGTGGGCAGGGCCAGTAAGGCAGCAATGGAATCGGAGTCACACTTTCAAAGATCCCTCCGGCCACTATGTGCAGAATCGACTGTAGAGCAAGAGTGGATGCAGGGAGACCAGCCAGGACAACACAGAAGGCGGCAGTTGCCTGGGCCAGGCTCAGCAGTGGAGGCAAAACGAGTGGTCCAACGGGAGAGACGCTTTGGGGGCAACGCTGGCAGGTTCCACTGATGAACCTACCCGGCAACAACGAGAGGAAGAGGAAGGAATTGAGGGTCGACTCTGGATTTACAGGCTGAACAAGTGGGCGGCAGGGTGGTGTACTGGGGGAGGGAGGGGACCCAGGCAAAGCAGGCTAGCTGCTATCTGAGAGGGTTCCTGAGGCAGGTCAGAGCCGAACGTGGCACTGGAGGGTGGGTGGCGTGTAGACAGCATTTAAAACCGTAAGCGAGAAAGGTGTCCAAGGATCAAGTCCTGGGCGCTCCCACACTTAGCTGTCAAACAGCAAAGGAGTCTGAGGAGGAGCGGTTAGAGACCTCAGAGCAAGACCTGGAGCTTCGGAAAGACACAGAAGCAAGTGAGGAAAGAGGTTCCTGAAGGCGGGGGTGGTCCGCGTGGAATGCTACTGAGAGGTCACACAAGGTAAGGACCCAGAACCACCTTTAGATTTGCCGTGTGGGGGGCAGCCTCAGCACCAGGGTAGAGAGCCTAACTGGGCGGACTGAGAAAGGATGCAGGTCAGAAAAGGAGAGGGAGAGATTTAAGATTATAAAGTGTTACTATGTACCCAGACTGTTACTACGTACCCATAGCATTACTATGTACCCTTTCACTGTCCACACATTAGTTTAATGTATCTACTCACTTCCAGGCTGACTTAAAGCCTGGCTTTCCAAGAACGGCCACCAAATCTAGAGATGGGTTTAGGAAATGGTTTGGGAACTGGCTTCATCACTTTACAGCTGCACCTCTTCCGCACAGGTAGGTAAAATGCCTCTGCCGATGGCTTCCTTTAAGAGCAGCAGCTCTCACGCTACCCCATTCAAGCCCACGTAGGCGTAAGCAAAAGATCCACCTGAGACCAGTTAGCCCCGCATGCCCACTTCCCAGTGGGAGAATGAACTCTGATAACTATAAAGGACCACAGTAAACTACAAATGGGGGAGGTTCATACACATCCGTTTTGTCCACAGGGCTATGAATGGTCCATTTTGAACTGTAATTCATATAAGTCCAGTTATTTGAACATTACAAGCCACAAATGCTATTGACGCAGATACATATCCTCAGCACACGTGGCAGAATTGACCGAACAACAAACCGATTTGATGTTAACAGTACTCAACTAACAGTGACTTAGTCATTAGAACACAACAATAGTGGCATTTTAAAACCAGGACTGATTCAAAACTAAGACTGTGGGGCTGCCAGCTGAGAGTGGGCATGTGCAGCTCTGCAAGAATGCCAAGTGCCGAGTAGCAGGAAACTTTCTGGAGTTGCCAGTCAACTTTAGTAAAGATGTGAATTGGGATCCTTAGAAACGTCAATAAATAGCACACCGTTAATAAGCACTAATATATATAGCAAAATAAAAGTATATGGAATTGCACACTGATCATGGGAAGAACCAAAGACTGGGTCTGCATTTAGGACAGTCCATGGCCCACCGGAAGTGGTCTGCATAGGTAGGTCAGCGATTTTCAACCTATTTCATCTCACAGCACATATAAACTAATTGCTAAGATTCTGTGGCATACCAGAAAATATATGTTTCACCAATCTGACAAAATCCTTGTGGCACAGCAGTTGAAAATCACTGGCACAGGTCCTAGCACAGAACAACTGGACCCACACTTGCTGCTTTACAACGATGCTGCTCCATCTGGCCGCTGGCGGCCACCTGGAGCACAGGAGACAGTCTGGCTGCCTCTGCACTCAAGACCCCCAGCTCAGAGCTGGTGGAGGCACCACAGCAGAGCAGAAGTCACCCACTGTCCAGAACCAGCCCACAACTGGACTCCTTAGTGTTTTGTCATATCTGAATTAGTGCCAATATTTTAAAAATAGAAGACTTCACATAAAAAAATAAAATAAAATAAAGGTTTTCTGGCTTCTCAAAGAAAAATAAGAGAGAGAGAGAAAGGGAAGGGGGACTGGCCGGGGCCCAGCTGCCCCCTTAGCCGCGGCTGGGTGTGCTCCTCGGAGCTCCACTCTTCCCACCCTCCAGAAAAATCAGACATGTGTGCTGAGAAGGTCCCCTCAAGGTTTGAGCACGGGAATGATACCACGAGGACTGTTAAGGTGCCGAGTTTTCCCAAACTAAGCTAAAACTCTTAGCTGCTGATTTTCTCCTTAACAAACGTCAGAGACAGCAAAGTTCTCCCCTGGCTCCTTTCTAAGTAGGAATCATAGTAATTACTCAGACTCACAGAACTTCTTTCTCCTAATGACCTGTGAAGAACTTATCATAGGTTATGTTGATCATTCAAAAATTAATGCTTTACTTAAAAGGTCAAAAAATATATCAGTTAATCACTTTTGAATAGTTTGAGCATGTGTTTAGGGTAGGAGAGGAAACCACATTTCAACAGAGAAAAAAATGCCCAAGTGGAATGAAAGAAAATCTTTAGACAGCAACTTTAAAATAAATGTCTTTGCATATACGCAGAGCAACCACAAAAGATTTGAACTATACTTTGTACTAAAGATGTCCATGAGGCAGGCTTTATACAGTCTTTCCCAATGATTACTTCTTTCACTCCTTAAACTACTTTTGGATGAAACAAATGTTCCTAACCTTTTAAAAGGATGCCACATCAATAACCGCAGCACTGGTCACTAGTGACTGACTGACTAAAATTACCGTAACGGTAATCTCACATACGTTTAACATCGGATACCAAGAACAATAATCTTCCATAAACACATTCACAAGCCCAGAGCAATCACACTGAATTGTAACAACAGCTATGCCTCTTACTCTACCGAAATGTTCAAATAAATAGACAGTCTTGACGGAGAAAAGAAATCACAAAAAGACAAACGCAAATGCTAAGTGTGCACAGTGAGACAGTCCCACCCACTTGCCTCGGAGACCAGGAAACTGGTCGATTAAGGACAGAGGAAACCAAACTGGCCATTTCCTTTCCTACTACTAGCTGCTTGCCCGTTGCTGTCCACACTCCAACATCAGGGGGACTCCCCTGGACGCCGGGACCCAGGTTCCAACCCACCATACTCTAACTCCGCTATTGGACAAATCCTGTCTCCAGGTTACAGCGACCTGAAACCCCACGGAAGGAGGAAAGTCTGGGTTCGAGACACATTGTTTGGAAGGCTGTGATGAAGTTCACTGCAACTTCAAAGTAACTGTGTACTCATTTGTTGCTGGCTGAACACTGGCCGGTAACCTTGTTTCCCAGTGAACTCACCTCAAGAGATTCGCCGCCTGGGCACAAGCAGCGCATCCCAAGCTGTCCTTCGTCTAAGTGTTAACAGCACTGCCTAAACCAGAGTGTGTGAAAACCTGCAACGCTGTCATTTCCAAATCGCTTCTTCTCCGGCGCTCATCGCAACTTAGTTTCAATCAACACCCATCCGGGGCCTCACTGCCAACCGACCAGCCACCGGACACTGGAGCCTGGGCTGGTCTGTGCTTTTGAAAGTTAACTTGCAAAACATGTGGCTGGGGGGGGACAAGAACTCAAACAAAAGCCAAGACATCTCCGCTTTGCCAAGGACACGCTTTTGGCTCTGCACTTTTTCTGCGTTGGAGAAAACAAAACAAACAAACAAAAAAACAAAAAAGAAAAGAAAAAACACCAAGGCCCGAGGGGCGCAGCGGGAACTCGCTTACCCGGTCCTTCATCCTCCAGCTCTGCGCTAGGGACTTGGAGCCCTCGATCTTCTCACAGTGCCTCTTCTTCATAAAGGCCAGGGGCAGGCTCCAGTCGGCGAGGTCGGCCTCGTCGTCCTCGCCCAGCCCCAGCAGGGGCGACTGCAGCATCTCCGCCTCCATGGGCGGCGGCGGGGTCCTGGGCAGCAGGCGCTCGAGCACCTCCAGCCTGAACCGCGGGGGGAGCGGGGCGCGGCGCGCGGGGCCTTCCTCCCGACCCGGAGCGGGGAGCG